AAGGAAGTATGAAAACTCTATAAAAGAACATTTTAGAATCTCTGCAATGCCTCATACACAATATCTGGCATTATATTAAAATTGATGAGGCTTGTCAAAAGATAGATTGAATGATCAAAATTCAAGAGAAAACAAGTAACAAACTGCTAGGTGATCCAGATATTAGAGTTACCAAACAAGGGCTTTAAAATAACTATAATTGATGTTTTCAATTAAACAAAGGGAAAATATTAAAAGAAAGCAAATAGTTGAAAACCTGGAGACTTTCTCATCAGAATTAACTATTTTAAGAAAGAATCAAACGTGCATTCTAGAATTTAAAAATAGAATATCTGAAATTAAGAACACAATAGATGGATTTAATAATAGGTAAAAGTTTTTTTAAAACGCATTAGTGAATTGTAAGATAACTTAGTAGAAAGCACCTAGATTGAAGCATAAAAAGAAAAAAGTAGACATAACACAGGAGCAGAGGAGTTACAGATGTTTGGAGTATGGGGAATAAGTCTAATTCATAAATTGATTAGAGTACCAGAAAGACAGCAGTAAGGATATGAAAAAAGAAATACATGAAGTGATCACAGCCAAAAATTCTTTAAAACCGATAAAAACATCAAACTAGAGATTCAAAGGTTCTGCAAATCTCAAACAAATGGATGCTGAAGACACTTCAAAGGCAAAAACCACAGATGAAGGAAAAGAGACACTAAGCCTGATAACTTACTTGCCAATGGAAATAACAGAAAGCCTAAGGGGAGAGAAATCATTCAAGTGCTGAAAGTGAATACCAACCTGAAAAACAATACTCAAAAGAAATAATTCAAAAATGGCAAAATGAAAAGATTTTCAGACAAACAAAAACTACAATAATTTATCAGCAGCAGACCTAGACCCAAAGAAACACTAAAGGGAGCATTTCAAGGAGAAGAAAAATAATTCCATATGGAAACATGGGAACGTAGGAAGAAATGAAACACAGCAGAAGGGTAAATATGTGGGTCCACTGAATAAATATTGATGGTGCAAGACAATAATAATCCAAGAGTTTAAAATACGCAGATATAAAATATATGACAGTAATTAAACAAACATGGGAGATAGAAAAAAAATGGTAAAACGTACACACACACACAAATAAATAAATAATCAAATAAAAAATAAATGGATTAATACTACAGTGAAAGGCAAAGTGTATCAGATTGGATTTTTTTAAAACTCAGACATGTTTTGGTTTTTTCACTCTTCATTTCAGAGTTTGTATTTAAAATTTTCTATAAATTACCAAAGTTTGAGTTATAGGATAGTACTTAGTTGTCAATAAGAACAGCAAAATTTATTGAGCTCTTACTATGTGCCAGAAGCTATTCAAAGTATTCTACATGTATTGATTCACTTAGTATTAACAATACCACTCTGAGGTATGTTCTTTTATGATCTCCATCTTACTAAAGCACAAAGTATTTAAATAATAAGCACAAGGTCAGTGGCAGAGCAATAAGAGAGATTAGAGCACCCTGACTCCATAGACCAATCTTGTGATTACTGTGCTATACTGTCTCACTACCAATATTAGAAAATAAGCTATTTTGTTTGAGGTGTTTGCCTTAGGGCATGTGTACTAGCCAGAGAGTAAGACACACTGAGAGGAAAAGTGAGAAATCACTCTCCAGGGGGAATAGCAATTTCTCTCCTTCACTCTCCTTTCGGGGTCTTGGGCACATACACACGTGCCCAGGGGGACTCTGACGCCACCGGGTCCAGGACTCAAACGGCAGCTGTCCATGTGGGAGTCCAGCAACATAACTGCTACACTGTCTGCTAGCCCCAAAAATAAGACTATTTTTAATAAGGTGCTATTTTGTACCTTGTAATATGTGTGTGTGTGTGTGTGTGTGTGTGTGTGTGTGTGTTTGTTTAGAGACTTTTTTGCTATAGGGCACGTGCGTTCACCAGAGACACAGAGAAATCACCTCCTCGGGGGTATGGCCACACTGCAATTCCTTCTCCTCCATTCTCCTCTCAGGATTTTGTGCATGAGTTTCAAGCTGCCAGGTCTGGGACTCAAGTTGTGGTCAACCATGTGGGAGTCCAGCACCTTAACTGCTATACCACCTACAGGCCCCTGTACCTTAAAATTTTGATAATTGTTTTAATCTAAATGTCAGATTATTAAAAATAATAAACTGGTAATTATTTTAAGCAAAATACAACAGGAACATACTAAAAACCACTATCATTTATGTTGCATTTAAAATATATTTATATTAGCACTTAAAAATGATTAAAATGGACCGGTCAATGATGTGGAGGCTAAGGTAATGGGATCCCACATGACTGGCTACATAGCTCAAGTCCCACACCCAGAAGCTTCAGAAGCATTTTGAGTGCATGTGCCTATGTGCCCAAAATCTCAAAACGAAGACAGAAATGGAGAAGAAACTGTGGCATGACCATTACCCATGGGAGGATGCTTTCTCATTCTCTCCCACTCTCTCTGTCTCTCTCCAGTGAGTGTGTGGGCTCTCTGATAAATTACAAAAGAAAAGAAGAAAGGAAAGAATTTTTTATAAATTTAATAGTTAATATGATAAATTTAATATCATATGTATATATTATATATCATACATAATATATACATAGTAAAACATATAGAGAATATATAATATTTTAACAAAATTTTTAAAATATACACAGACACACATACAGTAGGGTCTTCAAAAATTAATGGAAAATACGTATTCAAAAAAATACACATGGATTTCAAAATGTTTTTAAACCAAAATAAACTTATTCTTTAATTCCATTTTTAAAATCCCCCCCATCTCAGACTGGATGACAGTTTAAAATACATAGCAAGGGGCTAGCAGGTTGTGTAGAGGTTGAGGCACTGGACTTCATAGCCAACAGCAGTTGAAGTCCTGGACCCGGAGGCTGGAAAATCATGCTGGGCATATGTGCATGCATGCCCAAGATCTTGAGTCCTATGAGGAAAATGGAGGAGAAGGGATTGTGGTGCAGCCATGCCTCCTCGGGGATGATTTCTCACTTTCCCTCTCTGTCTCTCTTTCTATTTCTCTCTGTCTCTCTGGCACACATGCCCTATAGCAAAAAATAAAAATTCTTTTTGATGACAAAAAGAAGCTCAAAATAAGAGTTTAGAAATATAGAAAATTCAGCAATGTTAAAAAAAAAAAAAAAAAAAAAAACAGGACAACACGCGCGTGGCCATGTGTCCGTTGTGACTCCCATGTAGTCGACCGCAGTCCGAGTGCCAATCCCAGTGGCTTAAACTCACGCCGGGCATGTGTGCATGCGTGCCTGGAGAGTGGAGGAAAAGGGATTGCGGCGTGGCCATCCCCCTCAGGGGGTGATTTCTCGCTTTCTGTCTGTCTCTGTCTTTCTGGAGAGCGCATGCTCTCAAAAAAAAAAAAAAAGATATCCATAGCATATATAAGCATGTTAAACTTGTTCTTTTTCTTTTTTTTTTTTTTTGAGAGGTTTTTCGCTATAGGGTGCGTGCGCTCACCAGACAGAGAGAGACATAGAGACAGAAAGCGAGAAATCACCCCTCAGGGGGGATGGTCACGCCGCAATCCCTTCTCCTCCATTCTCCTCTCGGGATCTTGGGCACGCACACACACGCGCCCGGCGTGAGTTTAAAGCCACCGGGTCCAGGATGCGAACCGCGGTCAACTACGTGGGAGTCCAGCGACATAGCCATTATGCTAACTGCTGGTTCCCTAAACTTGTTCTTACTTTAGCATCTCAGTAATAAACTGATGAACTTAACAACAACAACAACAAAAAAAAATCAATAGAATAAGAGCATCTTTGATGAAGTTGTTACATGCTCTGTTGTGGTCTGCAGGAGAAAAACTTCATAAACAAAACATGTCTATGAGTTAATTATTTATGGGTGTTAAGGACTCTGATGAATCTGACATTCTGCACTACTTAGAAATGACCAAGTTGGGCCCAGCAGTTGGCGTATTGGATATGTCGCTGGACTCCCACCTAGTCGACCGCGGTTTCAGTCCCGGACATGAGAGCTTAAACTCACGCTGGGCATGTGTGCGCATGCCCAAGATCCTGAGAGGAGAATAGAGGAGAAGGGATAGTG